TGGAGTGATCCTCTTGAAGGACAACTTTCCAAGATGGCAGAGAATCCCCAACAGGAATATACTGTTTCTCTTCTCCATGAAGAGATCAATCTTAAAATCAATCTTAAAATTACCCCTGTATTAGAGTCTGAGGGCTGCTATAGCAAAATACCATGAACTGGGTGTCTTGAAACAACAGAAATGTATTACCTTGAAGTTCTGGAGGCCAGAAGTCCAAAATCAAGATGGGCTCTCAAAGCCTGTAAGAGGAAATCTGTTCCAAGCCTTTCTCCCAGCTTCTGGCATCAGCAGGTGCCCTTGGCATTCCTTGCAGCTGTATAACGCCAGTCATTACCTCTGTTTTCACATGGCCTTCTCCCTGTGTCTCTGGGTCTTCAGAGAGCCACTTTCTTACAGGGACACCATTCACATTGGATTGGGACCCACCTGCTCCAGTATCACCTCATAGCTAATTACATCACCAATGACCTTATTTCCAAATAAGGTCACATTCTGAGGTACTGGGCTTAGAACTTCAACCTATCTTTTTTTTTTTTTTTTTTTTTTTTTATGAGGGGCACAATCCAAGCCATAACTATTCCCACTTTTCAGGCAGGAGCCTGAGTAATACTACAAGGCTACTGCAGTGTCAGGATTAGAACCCAGATCTTATGGACTCCAAAACTGTTCTTGTAGGACACTGTAGTGCCTCCTGTCTGTGAATCTACTCACAGACAGTAAATAAGAGGAATACAAATTAGCATATGTGTAGCTATCTTTTTAACAAATTACTTTCATTGAAGAGAGCAAAGTTTCTTGAAAAGGAAGATTGATTGAAGCAAAAGAAAAAAAAAAGTAAAGGAAAGGGGAAGAAACACAGTCAGGAGAGCTCCTTTCCAGATGCCTGTGCTCTCCTGGGCTCACCCCTCACTGGTTTCTGTGCTTGAGATAAGTAGGCAGGCTGGGACAGGACTTGGCCATTTCAGCAATATTTAGATGGCTGCAGAGATAAACTGAGAGTTTTGTGAACTTGGCCATTAATTCACCCTCGAGTGACCTGTGATTTTTGTCCCTGTGTTACATCCTCGATGTCCCCCTCATCTCCGGGAGATTCTGCCACCACAGCAGAACTTGAGGCGGGCCTTTGGAAAATGGTGGAAGTGGGTTGGACAGTACCCTTGCTGACGAGCTCATTGCTAGCAGGGTGATAGAACTCCAGGGACAGGGTCACCAGTTGCGTTGGCCACAGCCTGCACTGAAGGGTCAGTGGGGGAAGAGGCACCAGCACTTGCCCAGGACAAGGAGGAAACAGATTCAATATCCATTTCCTGACCCAAAGAGCTCAGCCTGTCCATCAGGGGAAAGAGTCACCAGCACTTGCCCAGGACAAGGAGGAAACAGATTCAATATCCATTTCCTGACCCAAAGAGCTCAGCCTGTCCATCAGGTCACAGTATGTAACACGCCCATTCTTCTCCAGAGCATCAGTGAAGGTACCATGTATCTCTTTTTTCCTCCTGTTGACAGATGAAGAAATGGAAGGTCATCTGTTCACCCAGCAAGACTTTGAGCACCTGTTATGTAGGACATCTCAGCCTGGTGCCTGGCCTGTGGGAGGGTTAGGGAAGGGGTGGTATAACATTTAAAAGCCCGGGCTTAGGGGCAGTTGGACCTATGGTCAAATCTCAACTCTCCCTCTCCCATCATCCCTCCAGGAAGGCCCCTCTTGGAGGATGGAGAAGCCCTTCTCCCAAGCCGAGACTGAATGTGGTACATGGGAGAAAGCAGCCTAGACATGGTGTAGTCTAGACTCTCCAAGCTGGGTGGACTCAAGCAACTTAGCTTGACAATCAGCATATTAGTCAGTGCACCTTTGGTGGCAAGGGACAAAAACCCATCTTGAATCAGCTTAAGCTAAAGAAGTAAATGTACTGTGCCTTGTCTCCAAACTACCAAAGGGGCTAGATTTTCAAGTGAGTGATTTGTGCCCTTCTCTTCCTAACTCTCATCTCTGCTCACCTCTGACTTAGCTTGGTTCTTCTCCTGTACAGACTGACTTTGATGCCAGGGATTGTGGTTGTCAGTAGCTCGGGGCTTAGAGAATGCCAGTGTCATAACCCAAGGGAAACAGATTTCTTTCTCCCAGCTTTAATCTATAAAAATCCAAAGAATGGGTCATGTGCCCTTCCCTGTAGCCATCAATCACTGGCTGGTGGCAAGTGCGGCACGATTGGCTCTTTCGAGGTCAGTGTCTCCTCATGGTCAGGGCAGCTAAGATCTGTTAACAGAAAAATAGGAAGAGGAGGTGCTTTGAAGGTACAAACAGTACCATTACAGTCCACCCCTTAACCCCGCAGAGGGTGTGTGTGTACATACACTCACACTCCTATTAATTTGATTATAAAAATCTCATCTAACACAATCCACTATCCCATATATGGCCAAATGCACCTACCCTCACCCTAAGGTGAGACCACCCATAGTCATAGTACATCCAACTCCAAGCCCGGCATTTCTGGGTCACGAGTGTTACTCTCCATCAGAACTCAGTGTGGCGCCTTGTGATCCTGAAGTCTGTGGGCCAAATGGAAGTGAAGCCCCCCACCAAATGTAAAATGGATGGAGGACAGATCTGGGCTTAAATTTTAAGTGAGACACTTCCAAGCTGTAGTAACATAGGCAGACTACGTAGTTTCGAAATCTACATAAAAATGAGTAACACGGAGTAACATGAGTGGTTACCAGTCAGAACATATGCCATATCCCAAAAGAAAGGTTTGCATCTAAGACAGAGAGATATAATAGTCATTAGGATCAGCCTCTTCATCTATAAAATGGGTTAATAAGAAGGGTGTGAGGACTGAATTTTTTAAAATAAGGCATGGCACTTAGTAAAGTAGATAGCACATAGTAGATACTCAATACATAGTCTCTCCTCTCTCTCTCTCTCTCTCTCTCTCTCTCTCTCACACACACACACACACACACACACACAATTTTTGATCTGATGACTGACCTCATGCTGACAAAATAAAACAACCATTTCCCCCCTTCCCCTCTCCCTCCCTCTCCTTCCTCCTTTTTTTTTCTCCTCCTGCCCATCCTTGGACACTCTGTCCTCTAGTGAACTATTGAGCTAAAGTTGGTGTGAAGCTCTCACGACCATGGCCCATGGAAGTTGTCACTCCCAGCCCAGATGTAAACAGCATCCATGCCCCAGGGCCATGGTTCCTTCTGTGACACAGGAGGGACATACATTGTTTAACAAGCACAGTGACAAGATGTAGGCTTTTCCAGAGCTGTCACCATCTGATGTGCCCGCTCCAGGGAGGCAATGTTTCTTTTAAAGATGGACTGTTCTTAGTTGACCAAATCATCTCTGTCTTATGAAAGAAATTCAAGGTGATCAGGGATGAGACGCATCTCCAGCGAGGCTAACAAATTCTGCACTTACCAGGGTGGTGTTGAGGGAAACAGTTGCTCCATAATGAGCCTGTATCCTCTGCTAGACCCTGCTCTCCACCATGAGTGAGGGGGACAAGAAGCCCACAGTTTAAATAGACAGCAGCCCACCCATAAACGAGATCAAGTGGCATGTCATATTTCCCTCAGTCGTTCCCTATGAGGGCTGTTTAATTCTAAGGGCTGGCTGGGTCCTCGGTCTAACCTTCAGTTATTTCCAAGTGCAAGGGTGGAAAGAGCACTGGTTTGGGGTCCCATAGATCTAGATTTAAATCTTTGTTCTACCATCAGTTAGTTTCAGGTCTCAGACAGCTCACTTCACCTTTCTGGGCCTCTGTTCAATCATCTAAGAAAACAGTTTAAGCATGTCAAGGGTCATTGCACCTGGGTCATTGCAAAGATCCTCGGATTCAAAGAGAAACAAGCAGTAGTTCAGCACATGGGCTCTGCAGCCAGATTGCTTGGGTCCAAACCTAACTCCACAGGTAATAAGCTGTGTTTCCTTGGGCAGGTGACTTAGCCTCTCTGGGCCTCAGTTTCCTCTTCTACATTGAGTGGGAATATTAATTCTTACCTCATAGGGTCATTCTAAGGATTCACTGAGACAATATGTGTAAAGCAGTTAGCAAAGTGCATGTCCAAATTAATAATAATGATTATAAGAACCTATGGGAAAAGACTTTATAAACTGTAAAGTACCATCTTTGTGTACTATTTACCAGGAAGTACAGGAACACGTGTACTACTTTAAGAAAATGAAGTGAATGGTTTGTACTTGTATAGTTGTTTTACATTATTTAAAATTTTCCTTTTGGATGAAAGCATTCACCTTGGCCCACAAGGTGGGAAAACTGTAAAGTACTTATACAGCACTGTGAATGGCTGGTTTTTTATTCCACTCACCTTAACTTTGTGCCTGTTATATTCAAGACACTGTGGTAGAGATGTTTATACAAATAAGTCCATTTTAACCTCATTGGGCTGATATTTTCATCCCCACAATGAAGAAAACTAGGCCTCAGGGAGGTAACTGGCCTAAATGCACTAGGTCAGCACTAGAATGTAACCAAAGTGATACGACAACCTAGATCTTGAGATATCCCAGGCCAGTGTTCCTTCCAAGGGAAAATAACACCTTAAGCCATCTTGCAGAAATGACAACAGGCTGTCAACTTAGCAAGCTCTTCAGAGCTGTCCTAATACAGGTCTCATCTGCTTGGTGCTTAAGGAATGATGTTGGCTTGGGTTACTGGGTGCCCAGTTGTCACCAGTAGAGCCCAGGGGCATGACCTTAACCCTGGCCTTGGAAAGGGCCCTCCCTCCTCTCTGTTGACCTCCAGGGCCCACAGCCTTACCCATGGGACACCACTGCCCTTATAGATCATGTTCTGCCAATGCACATGAGTTTCAGTCTCTCTTGTTTCTACTTTACTGCTCAGAGGAAGGAATTGGTACCAAAAGGTCAACAAGGCCACATAGCCAAAGGCACACTGGTTACTCCTGAAACCCTTTCAGCTTTGTCCCCCCTGCCAAATCTGACTTTTCTCATCTCCCCAAAGCTAAGTACATCGGCTGCTACCTGGATGACACCCAGAGCCGGGCCCTTCGAGGCGTGTCCTTTTTCGACTACAAAAAGATGACTGTCTTCCGTTGCCAGGACAACTGTGCAGAACGGTAGGGCCCCACCAGTGTCCCAGGCATTCAGACCCCTTCCTTCTCAGATTCCTACCTGTGGTGGTCTTTCTTTTTCCATGGGAGGGCATGATGGAGGATGAACATGTCGCTACAAGGAAAGGGTGATGCAAGGGTGATTGTGTGTGTGTGTGTGTGTGTGTGTGTGTGTGTGTGTGCGTGTGTGTGTGCGTGTGCGTGCATATGCATACATGCATGCAACTGAGCAGGGAGTTGGTCTATGGGAATTTGTGAGACTCTGCCTAGGAGTGAGTTTGCAGTGTACAGTATGCAGGGTCATATGTTTGTAAGCTTAATGCCAATACCTAACTGTCTTTAAATAACAGTAGCTGTGAGTGCAGGAGTCCCTGTGGATATGTTTGCAAGGGTCCCGAATTGTGGGGAAAGCACAAGTGGGTGTTTACATGAAGGCAAGTGTGAGTCTGTGAGCATGAGGCTTGTGTGATGCCCGTGGGAAGGGTGAGGTGGGAGCCCGGGATCAGGGCTATTTAATGGTTTACCAGCCAAGAAACTATTTGTTTCTCTACCAGGGAGAAACACTCACCTGTCCAGACAGTGTTTTCCAATCTAAGAATAAAATGATGTTCTTGATTAGAACATGCACTGGGGGGAGGGAGCTGACTTTGCAAGAGTGGATGAGGCCCCAGAGGACTAGCGAGTTGGCACCCTCAGTCCAGGCCTGGGAACCAGCACTGCTGCCCTAGAGGCACTGTGGAGTGAGCTGAACTTCTCCCCTGTGCCCTGGGTCCCCTGACGTGTGATGGCTTGTGAGAGGCCTCTAACATGCTCATCTTCAGGCTCTAGCCTGATCACAAGCTCTGAAGGAGCTCCGCTGCATGGCTGGAGTGGAAGTGGGCAAGTGGGTGGCCAAGGGACTCTTCCCTCAGTTCCTGACTAGGAAACACTGTCCCCTTTATAATCAGCTTCCAGAACAGTCCACCATTGAAATCCTGAGCCCAGGACCATCTCCAGCTTGGGAAAGACTCCAAGCTCTTGAGGATATTGATTCTTTAATTTATTTATTGAATGGTGGGGAGACAGAAGTGAATTTCAGAGTCCATGCCCTCAGAGAGGTCTTGTGGGAGTTGAAGAGTTAATATTTGCAAAGCAAATATTTGAGTGCCTGGAAGAGAGCAAGTGTAAGCTATTGGCATTCTGTGGCCCAAACCCGTTCTTGCTTCTGCCTCCCCAACTAGCTGGGGAGCCCCTTGGGGGCAGGGCTGCAGCTGACTCATCTCTGCGTCCATCTGGAAACCCATGTGGGCAGCCACAAGTATGCGCTGAACCAGAGTGAATTACGCGAGTTGATCTGACTCATCTTCTGAAGCTCCATCTTGGCTGTCACCTCCTCTGAGAAGTCTCTCCTAACACCCCAGGCAGGTTGGGGGCCTCTTCTGCATTTCCACAATCTGGGACTTATTCCATCTCAACCCTCATCTCGCTATGCCGGCATTTTCTGGTTAAGCGCTTGTCACTCCATCTAGGCTGTGAGCTCCAGGACGCACACATCAGCATCACCTGGAATCTCTCAAGATTGCCGGGCCCCACCCGCAGCTTTTGAGTTGGTGGGTTTGAGGTAGGGCCCAAGAATCTGCATTTTTAACAAGTTCCCAGGTGACACTGGATGCTGTTGGTCCTGGAACTATGGTTGGAGTACCACTGCTCTGATTTTCACACCCAGCTGGGAAATTTTAGAAACTCCTGCTGTCCAGTGTTCCTTCTATCAGTGGGTTCATTTGTATGAGACTGGCCCCAAGGGCACCTGAGAACCAAGGCTTGAGAGAGACAGCGACAGACAGGTGGAAGGAGGAGGCTGGCCCCGCTCCAAGATGCCCAGATAGTTTAAGCTGCTCTTACTGCGTCTGCCCAGGTGACCGTGTGATCACACGCTGCCCGAGTAGTAGGGGTGTTTGGAGACATGAGTCTGGGTGGGTCTGTCTCTCCAGCCAGCCCCCAGAAGTCCCGAGTGATGGCGTGAGCTGACACCTCCCATAGGTCCAGCCTTGCGTGACCGGTATTTTGCAGGCTGCTCCCACAAGGAGCTTTCACGATTCTGGATAGTGCCTCAGAGGCCACAGTGGGCAAGAGGGCTGAGCAGGGGTCGTCCTACTCCCCTCTCCCCCACAACTTCATACCTACCCCGCGAGCCAGAGCAAGCACTTCCCTTTTCCTCTGTTTACAGAACAGGTCCTTACTAAAAGTCCTTTTTAGGAAATGATTCCAGAGCTATGAAAAAAATTGACAATCTTGCAGTGCCTGGATATTTTTTTGCTTGTTTTAAGGAAAGGAATTTTTTACTTGGCTGGATACATGACCTTGGTTTTGCCACCTTCCAAAGACATATGAGAGTCCCCGCCCCCTCCCCTGGGTCCAGCTCCTCTCAGGGGACATAGAGGCATTGTTCCTGGGGGATGTTTCCTGGAATAAAGAGGCTGGACTTTGCAGATACGATTGGCTTGTGGCTCTAGACAGGGAAGAGCAAGAGAGTGGGTGGGTCAGAGGGACCACAGGACCAGAGGGGGGGGGTGTCAGGTGTCCTGTGTGTTGAAGGTATATGTAGATGGGTGTGAATATGATGTTGTGTGTCTATGTGGGTAAGTGTATGGGGGTGTGAGACATGAGGCAGGGATGAAAGCAGGTGCTTCCTGGGGTCTTGTCCCCTTCCAGAGTCTCCCTGTCCCCCAGGGACCTCCTTGTATTTCTTCTTGGCTTCCTGCCCATCCCACCTCCAAGACTTTCTAACCCCTTAGCCTCCCTGACCCTCTCAGGGTCTCCTTATTCTCAGTCCAGATCCCCCTGTCCCTTGGAGTATCCCTGTACCTCAGATCTCCTTGGGTCTCCCTGATGCCCAAAGTCTTCCTTGTTTCCCCTCTTCCAGGGAGATAGGGAGACCCCCACCCCAGTCTCCTTATTCCTCTGGGGTCTCCCTGTCTCCTGGAAACCTCTGTCTCCTGTCCCGTGAGGTCTCCCCTGTCCCCCTTCCATCGTCTGTCTCTCCATTTCCCCTGGGACCTCCTGGTCCCCAGAGCCCTCCCGTCCCCCAGGTCTCCTCACTAGGTGAGTCACCCTGTCCCTGGGGTCTCCATGGTGGCAGTTACCCTGGCCTGACAGCAGCCTCCCCCAGGGGTTACCTGTATGCTGGGCTGGAGTTCGGCGCCGAGTGCTACTGTGGCCACAAGATCCAGGCGACAAACGTGAGCGAGGCGGAGTGTGACATGGACTGCAAGGGCGAGCGAGGCAGCGTGTGCGGTGGCGCCAACCGCCTCTCCGTCTACCGGCTGCAGCTGGCCCAGGAGTCAGCCCGCAGGTGTACGTGAGTCAGCCCCTCCCCTGTCTGCCCTCGCCCACCTGAGCGCCCACCTGTACCTTCCACGGCTCCCACCGCTCCTAAGCCCTTGGCTGCCCTCCAAGGCTGCCACCATCCTGCCCCAGCCTCACCTCCAGCCACTCCCCTCTTCCTCCTTAACAAACAGCTAGAGCCTGAGCTGGCCTGTCCTTCCTCATTTTCTGAAAGCAGATTGTGTCTAACGATGGTGACAATGACAATGACAACAGCAAACACTTCATCGTTTTCCAAGTGCCTTCTATGGGAGAACACATCTAACCCTCACGATGACCCTTGAAATTGCACTGTTATTCACCCACTCCCATTTTACAGATGAAGAGACTGAGGCTCAATGTCACACAAGCAGCAGAGGATTTAAACCAACTCCAGAGCTTATGTCTTTAATGCTCCTGTAGAGAGAATTTATCCCTCGCCTGCCAGTGCTTCAGTCTTGTTGGAAAAACTCTCCAGTGTCCAAACTGAGGGAGGGAAGGGGATGAATAGCCGAGGACAAGAGCCTCTGTGGCTCTTGACAATATCTGTGACAATATCTTCTGTGGATATTGTCCCATTGTCCCCTCTCTGGGTGTTTAATAGCAGTTAATGTCTATTTATCAAGCATCTGCCGTGTGCCAGGCACGTGCTGAGCCCACTGCAAGCCTGATTTTGTTTCCCTTCCCTACAGACTTTTCAGGCAGTTACCATGGTTAATTATCTCCATTTTACAGTGAGGAAACCGAGGCTTGATGAACTTAAGTAAGCCTGTCCAAGGTCACACAGTCTTGTGACCTCAAAGGTGACCTTCAGACCTATATGAAGAGCTGATGGCCTTGACGAAAGACAGAGGGCTGAGGTTTGTCCTGGTTACTCTTCTGATGCAGTCCTGAGGTAGGAATAGGAATCCAGAACTAAGAATCCCAAATTTGAATGCTCCAGTGAACCCTAGGGAGATCTTGTTAAAATGCAGATTCTGACTCAGCCGGTGAGATTCTGCATTTCTAAGGAGTTCCCAGGTGATGCTAGGTTGCTGGTCCATGGACCACACTTTGAATAATAAGGCCTTAGACCTCCATGGAGCTGACAAGTTCCGCCCAGAATGTCAGCCTGCCCACCCAGGTGGATTTGGCAGAACCTTAATGCCTGTCTGCATGCAGAGAAAGGCCTCTTCCGTATGAATGTCATTGTTTATAAAAATTCATTGCTTGTGTGCTTGACACTGTGTTCTGTTTTCCAAACCCCATGTTTCTGAAGCCCTGTTCAAGCTTTGCTTTACAACGGGGTCCTGCGTGCCGCCAGTTTACAAAGTGGCTGATTTCTAGAAACAGAGTCACCATCTGCCTCCCCATCGTTGCCTCAGTTCATCCAGCTCTGCAGGTCTGGCTGGCAGAGGGCGGGGAGGGTGTGTGAAATCCAGGCTGGATAATGTCCATACAGCAAGTCTCTGGTTTGGCCATTAGTGTAATGAGGTTTTAATTTGATAGCAGATTTATCATCCCCAATACTGATTTCTTTATGCCAATGTTTACATTATTTTGATGGTGAAGTTGACCATATGAAGAGATGGCCTTAAAGTTGTGTGTATTTAGAGGGAAAGCTGATGCCACTAGAACATTCTAGTGGATGATGCTGAGCTAGATAACAAGAATTGGGCTGTGTATGTCATCAGCCACTATCAGCTAGACCTCCTTTTTGTTAATGTTCAGATTGGCTGGGTAATACGAACATTCTCCTGTCTTTCTGTCTCTGTCTCTGTCTCTGCCCCTCTCTCTCTCTCTCTCTCTCTCTCTCTCTCTCTCTCTCACACACACACACACACACACACACACACACACACACATACACGCACGCACACACTATTGAGATCACCTGGTATAATAACACTCATGGACCATCAAAGATTTTTCAGTCAGCTGAAATATATAAACCTCAACACACCGAGACCACTAGATCCCGTTACAATTGGGTGTGTTTTGCCCTGGTAGCAGTGGGAGGGCTGTCTGGGTGGTGGCTGGTGAGAAACTCCTGAGGCTGATGGGAATGCTGCTGTGCCCCTCAGCTTGCCCACCTCTGCAGTGGTGTTCTCTCTCTCTCTCTCTCACACACACACACACACACACACACACACACACACACACACATACACGCACGCACACACTATTGAGATCACCTGGTATAATAACACTCATGGACCATCAAAGATTTTTCAGTCAGCTGAAATATATAAACCTCAACACACCGAGACCACTAGATCCCGTTACAATTGGGTGTGTTTTGCCCTGGTAGCAGTGGGAGGGCTGTCTGGGTGGTGGCTGGTGAGAAACTCCTGAGGCTGATGGGAATGCTGCTGTGCCCCTCAGCTTGCCCACCTCTGCAGTGGTGTTTTGTTCCATCTGAGAAAGGAATCTTTGTATTTATGTCAAAGACGGGGAACCCATTCATTTCTACTGAGAGGGGAGTCCTGGATTCTCTAAGTCCACCCCAGTTGTTCTGAATCGTCACTGTACAAGGTTGGAAGCTTGGGCACCTTCAGCTGGAAACTCCAGAAGGAAATCTAAGCCTTACTAGTCTCAAGACTACTGTGGCTGAGATGAGAATGGAAGTGGCTTGGATAAGGAGACAGATGGTTTGTCAAATTGGGACTCCTGGTGGGCTCCCAGTTGGCAACATGGTATTTGGAGAGAGCATGGGGACTGTTCATTAAACACTTGATTGCTCCCATGTGTATTAGGCATGGAGAGGACAATGGGGAATAAAGCACAGTCCCTGCCCTCAAGGAGACCACCATCTAGTGGAGAGACAGACCCAAGATGAGTGGGATCTGTTCGAGCATGGGGGGTATATATAGGAGCCACGGGAGCAACATTTGAGCTGAATCTCATTCTAAGATTTCCACGTGAAAGGGAGAGTCGTGTATTCAGCCATGAACAAAAGGATCATCAAAGGTGATGTTTTGAATGACCTGTTGGAAGCACCTTCCTCACTGATGCTTCATTTTATGGCTTTAGAAACTGAGGCCCAGACAGCACAAGTGGCTAAATTGAACAGCCCTGCGGGAGGCTCCACAAAAGAGGGCTGACTGATTAAGGCCTTGAAAGATGCATAGGATTTTGCCTGGTGTAAAAGAGGAGGATATCCATCCAGACTCAAGAAATTGCCAAAGGGTGGGGGAGAAATCTAAGCAGAGGGGATAGAGTGTGCGAAAGCTGAGAGGTAATTTCTAGAGATGATGGGCAGGCATGATTTTTCCAAGGCCACAGCGCTTCTTAAGGACTGAGCATAGTCTGGAACCCAGGTCTCTGACTCCTAGTTTGAGTGCTAACTCTCTATACTGCTGTAGACACCTTGACCTCTTGTATTGGATTTTGGACCCCATTGCCTCTCTTTTGGGAATGTCCTTGGATTTAACTTACCTCCTTTCTTTCTTGACCCCTGACCTCTCCTTCTGCCCTGTGTCCTGACTCTACACAATACAGAATATCCAGTGCCTTTGTTCTGACTCAGTGGCTTCCCATTCCTGAGATCTGATTTATACACAAATAAGTCAGAAAGGGAGGCCTTCCACTGGCACACGACACTAGCATGTATTACATTAGGGAGGGCAATGAGCAAACACTCCAGGAAACAGGTATGGTGGAAACCAGATTCCATTTGTAGAGTCATTAGTTTGTATTAACACCGTGTCCTAATTGTGTTTCCCTGAGCAGTGGCACAGAACTCTTAATGATTGTGAAGAACCAAAGGAGGCTTATTATCGCCCAAGCACCACTCTGGTGGGGTGTCCACCTTGCGTGGGGAGCCAGCCTGCGTGTTTCCGAGGTGACGGAATGCTCCTACAGTAGTGAGAGCATTAAAAGTTTGGCAGAGCAAATGTCTGCAGGCATCCTGCTATTCTTTCTTGCCACAGACACTCGGGCACATGGACTCTTTGCCCTTGTTAGAAAAGAACCGAGAAATGGACTTCCTTCTTGGTTGGATTACATTTTTTCACAGCAGTTTGCTAAATGTGTCAGCAAGTGTAGCTTCTCCTCCCAGGGGCAGAGACCTGCTGGTGATTTGAGAGTATTATGGCTTTATAGGGTGTTGCAAGAGATTTCATTTGCCTTAAAGATTCTTGCAAGATTTGCATTGCAAGGTTCATTAGAATTACACAAAATATACATTATGTATGTGGGTCCCCTGGGTGGCTGTCCGTGGTGCTGACAATCCTTTAGTGCTGCCTAAAACCCCCATGACTGCAGACCAGCCTCTCCCAGGACTCGGCACTTTTCCCTCTTGTTTTTTCTTTTCTATCTTGGTGAAAGTATTATGAAGCTCATGTTATCACTGAAAAAATAGATCTTGACTCGTGGATCACACTGTACATAGTGACTCGTGTGTACTGCTGTTAGTCCTGGCAACTTTTTGTCTTTGAAGGTTAGAAGGGAAATGTTGTGCAATGCTTGTACTTTTTGTTCACTGATACTCCACTTTAACCAGTTCTGCTGAGAGGAGCCTCACATGACCATGGAAAGTCATATTGGATGGATGGGCTATGTCTAGCTCCTTCTTTGCCGGGCCTGGAGGCCTCTCCTTGCCCTTGATATATGCCTGGGACCCCTGAATTTTATAATTCATATGGGTCTTCATGTGTTCCGCTGTGTAGGGCCAAGGAGATGTTAGCTAGGAAATTTTTTCTCCTTCTGCATCACGATGGGGGAGAATTGGTTTGCTCTTCTCCATGAACCATAATCCAGGAAGGCTATGGGAGCAGTGATTGTAGATTTTGAAATCAGGCAGACACTGTTTCTATCCCAACTCCTTCACTTCCTTGCTGTGTTGGCTTTGGTCAAGCCACTCATTCTGTCTGAGCCTCAAATGCCTCATCTGTAAAATGGGGACAATTCCAACCTTGAAAGATTGCTCTGACCACCAAGTGAGATAAAATTGAGAAAAGCGCACAGCACAGTGCCTGTTAGGAAGTAGTGGTGATGCGCCCTCCTTCCTG